ATCATTTAACAAAGGGATTACCGCCCAAGTTGTTTGTTAGCCATATAGTGAATATGAGCATTATGTTTACTAGCAGTGAGTGTTCAATGTTAATGTTATTATTAATGTTTATGTGACACTCTGAAATATTTAATGTATAAGTTTCTCAAATTTTTATTTTCTTCTTTATTTATATGCATGCGAATTATGATGAAGAAAATAAATTATGTTATTATTATTGAGATGATATTATGTTTGAACTCATTATGGACTTCTCATTATAAAGTCATATTAAGGATAAAGAGATAATATAGTAATACACAGAAGGGAACATGTCGATTGAATGACATGTAATCGTCATGACTCTTGTTATAGCTTATCTTTAATTATGAATAATGATAGAACCAATTTATGTAAGGTCATTTAATGCGCATTATGACTTAAGTATTAAATCACGAAATCGTATGACATTTCATGAGTCAAGTGAGAGAATGTTAGAATTAATTTAATTAATTAATTCTATTATGTGACTTATGTGAAATGTAATGATGGATCTAAATGTGATTTAATAAAATATAAGCATCTATTGGTTATTATGGAAAGTCAGAATAAAATAAAGATAAAATAAAATAAAAACTTACGGTAACCAACTTGATTGATGTTGGTTAATAAAAGGGATTAGGGTTCTGTCTCCGAACATAAGATTTTATTTCACGGTAAACCATCAAGAAAGTGTGAGAAGAGAAAGAAACACAAAGAGATAGATTGGGAAAAGGAGGTTGAAGAACAAAGAGATTAAAGAACAAACTATCATGGATCAAAGTTAGTTTTCTTATTATGATTCATGTATTCATGTATTGCAATTTGGGTCGCCGCTTTAGTTTATTTCCTCTATCAATTTCTTTTTTATCCTTGGTATTGAGTTAAATTTATTTTTATGCTATTTAATTTCCTGCACATTTATTTCTCAATAATTTACTTTCACAGTTCTTTATTATTTTTGCAAGTTATTTTAAATGTTTCAAATCATATTAAATATAAAAATTGAATGTGAACAATCTTTCATTGAAATCTTCTATGTATTGAACTTTGAGTAAAATTAGAAAAACTCACATAGTGTTTAAGTAATTCAGTGTGTAAATTGTATTAATTATATCCAACAGAGAATTATTTACACTAGAAACAAATTGTCACGCTTGGTGGGACACATTCGTTACATTAGTGTATGAGATTAAGAAGTGGTAGAGTCATAATGACAAATCAAAATTCACAAGTTTCAGTACCAATACCAAATTCTACGATAATACCTAGTATTAATACTAATGAAAGTCATAACGTGAGCGGAAGTGAACTGGTTCAAGGCGAAGGAACTCAAAGTGATCAGGAACCTATTCAGTCAACACATAATACTAGTAGAGGATCACATATGAATAGTGGGAACACATCAACCCATGGGAATAATAAGGAAACTCTAATAGGGTAAATGATCGAAGTTAAGATCACTTAAGATTGAGGAATAATGCTAGGGGGAATACTAGAAATGGTTAAGGTGATTCTAATAATATAAACACTAGAATATCCAATAACATGCTAGGGGTTATAAGACAAAAAATGCTTGGGGAATATCCAATAAATAATGTACCTCATTTGGAGAAGGGAAACGTGGTGGATCGACGAAGACTTCAACTACGGATTCTAGATTTCTTGAAATATTAGTTGAAGTTTCTTTATGTAATCAAGATAATGATGGTAAGCCTCAAATTATGTATTAATGAAGGAGTTTGAAGGTTGTATAGAAGTTATATGAAGTCTAACCTGGATTCTCTTTTCGATTCAACAGGTGAGCGGAGTGTTGCCCTCATCATCAGATTCTGATTCGATGATGGTGGGTGCTGAGAGGAGTTGTGGTGATAGGTGGTGTAGAGATATGATTATATGAAGTTTTTTAGTGTTGATGCAGTTAAAGATTATACTTATCTTTTGAAGAAGTGAGTGTTACCTATACAGATGGATGTGGAGTGGAGTCGAAGATGTCGTTTTCAATTTGGATTTTTTCTGAACATACGAATTGATTACGAAGAAACAATGAAGTAAAATCAAGCAAATAAAGAATCAAGAATGTGTTTAGTAAAAGAAAGGATCAGAACATACTAGGAGAGGTGTGAGACCCTTTGTTTTCCTCTTTCTTCGAATTTTGGGAGATGCAGGAGTTGTGATGGGTTCAGAAGTGTCTTGTGTAGGTTCAATAAGTTGGATGGAAGAAGAGACTACAATAAGGATATTACAAATAAGCAAAAGAAATAAATGAATAATTAAAAAAAAAAACAAGAAGATTTCTCACCACAGGGAATATTATTTAAAATAATAACATGGTTCATGTGGGTAAGCCAATGGGGTAAAGTTGAATCAGGTAGGTAGAGATAGGGATAATAGGACAATTTGGATATAGTAATGGCTTTATTAATTGGTTTCGGGTGTAATTATTCATGAGAAGATCTAAGTTCGCGAACCCCGTTTGGGATGTTTTAAAAGTTTAGCAACACCGAAAGAAGCATAAGGGAAAGTTGGTAAATTAATGGGACAAAATCTCTCGAAAAGAATTCTACCTAATGGGTTTATAGTTTTCCTATTTTCTCTATTTTTTCGAACTTTGTTTCTCAAAGAATACACTACATTTTTAAAGGTGGATTCTAGTCAAAGAGGATCATAACATTCTTGATAATAATTCTCAAATGCAGTAATTTGAAGGTAATGCTCATATTTGTCTTTTGAAGTCTTTGTTTTGTCCTGTAGAGGAAAATCAAGATGAATCATCATTCGAGATTTTAAAAGAGCAAAGGGCATATGTTTTCAGGAGAACCATTGATCCTACCAGAAATGAAAATTGAACGTGCTTAGCAAGTTGGTTTTGAAGGGAAAGGATGGTATTCGATGGGTTTTGTTGGCATTAGTTATGTGAGGGTTTCTTGAAGGGTTAAATTATTATAAGTAACATCTTTAGGAATGAGTTGGTGGAATCTTGTGGTAAGTGGGGTTTGGCTCAGTCCAAATTGGTGCGAAAAATGTTGAGGAACATATGAAAAGAATTGAATATCTTTCCTTTGAAATCTAGCGGCTAGAATGTCCCAATTCAGAAAGTTGATCCAAACTTCAATAAGCTCGACTTGAAGTCTAGGAGTGGTGGTTGGTGGTTTGGATTTGAGCCATGGTGGTCCACAAATATATTGAGGATTATAGCCCATTTTTAAAAATGGAGCAAGTGTCTGATCAAAATATGTGCATGATAATAAAAATTTGAGATAAGAATTGTGAAAGGTTAGGTCTAGTTTATAGTGTTTAGGATGACGGGTGGCTAATCAAACGTCTTCTGAAGGATATGAAGGAACGAGGGTCGATGTTACTGAAGGGCAAGGGAGTCGAGGCTCATAGAGGGTTGTTAGCCATAGTTGAATGAACTATAGTGGACTTGAAAGGTTGCCACCAAGTCGATTGAATCGAAGGGCATCAACTACTTTGTTAAAAGCGGCATATATGTGCGCAAGTAATAACTTGGGCAAACAGATGTTAGGAGTTCCTCGATGAAGTAAGAAGGCCAAGTTATAATAATGGGAGGATATTTGGATAGAACGGGGGCAGAAGACATGTTTACACAACTAATAGACAAGAAAGACAACATGTTCTTCATCTGATACTTTGACTGAAGGGTCATCAATAAACTGTTCCTAGAGAAAATGACCGTATGCTTTCTTATTCCATCGAATTTTCGATTTGATGGCTTTGTTTGTTAGAAATGCGTTAAGATAATATTTCTCTCTTACGGGTTTGAGACCCATTATTGTGGATACTTCAAGTAGGGTAGGGGAAATAGGGCCACAAGGAAGTTTGATGACGTTGAGGCTTTTGTTCCAGAGTTGGACCGCTGGGAGAAACATCGATATGTCCAGAAAACCTATATTAGAACAGGAGAGGTAAAGAAGGTCATAAATGCCAATTTTTCTCCAATGATTTTTTTAACTACTTTCGACTCTATCGAGCCATTTAATGCAGGAAGATTTCTTTTGAGGTGGAACAGAGCGGTAAACTTTGGACGCCTGGGGAAGTAAGTCTACTCTGAATTTTTCAGAGTCATGTTGTTGAAGGATGGAGTTGTCGTCGATATAGGTAAGAAAATCTTGAGGATGTTGGGAATTTTTTATCAATGGCCCTTTAAAACCAAGTGAAACACAACCAATGGACTAGGGAATTAGTACTTGGGTGGAGCAAATCTTTTGAGATTCTTCAGTTGCACGAAAAATAGGTTCAAAAGTTTTTCCATTTAATTATATAAATTAAGTAGTTATGGGTTGGATGGTGGAAGTTTGGGAGGTTGCAGAGGATGAAGCCATTGAAAATCAAGATATAAGGTAACGTATAAGCGTGAATATCAATTATACGGGAAAACAGAGAAAGTTTTAAACAATCAGTTTAGGAAGTAGGAAAAGGAGTAAGGATGAGGAAGATGAATAATTTGGTTGCTTTGAAAGAAATGATGTTTTCCCATAAAGTCTAGTGATAATGGGCTTGGTGTGGGCCCATATCCAAATAATCAAATATTTTGGAATAAAAATTGGACCAATGACTGATGAAAGAGTGATAATACAGACAATCACATTTCTTACCGAAATTTTGCATTTATGAGGGGAATGAGAGTAATAATGAAAATATGGAATAAGAAAACAACTTTTTGTTAAAGTAAGGATTAAATATTTGAAGCAGGTATTGAAGATAAGATAATACATGTATTTGTCGAAGATTAATAAAGTATTCTCTTAAGGGGCATTTTATTACGTCTAAAAAATTATAAAAATGATCAAAAGAATAGATCGAACCTGATCTGGGCGTCAAGTGGTTGAAAAGAATGACGACAGAAATCAAGAATGACGTATCGAAGTAAAGAAGTAGTTAGGATTATGTTTTTCGAGAAAAGACAAAATATCGACAAATTGAGAATCAAAGAATTTAAAGAGAAGAACAACGAAAGTTTAAGAATTGAAGACCTAAAGAGTGGAAAAATGCATGGATATATATTGAAAGGAAGTTATATGGAAAGATTTTTTTCACTAGTACATCGAAATATTGATGAAGGTGGTTAAGAAACAAGTTTTGTAAAATGTGCAAGTTATAAGTGAACGTGTATCAACAAAATGAAGTAATTAAAAGAGAATAATCATTTGAAAAATTTTAATTTAGAATTTTTATTTTTATTTTATTATTTTTATAGTTACTTTAGCAGTTACAATAAATATATATATATATATATATATATATATATATATATATATAGAGAGAGAGAGAGAGAGAGAGAGAGAGGATAAAATAAAGATAATAAGGAGTGATTGTCAACTTATACAACTTATATTCTAGAAAATGCTATGAACTGAAAACAAATATTTTTAATGGAGTTCTTTGCAATTTGTATCGCCACTTCAATTAATTTCTTCTATCAATTTTTGTTTTATCCTTGATAATGTGTTTTAAATTTATTTTTATGCTATTTAATTTCCTATACATTTATTTTTCAATAATTTACTTTCACAGTTCTTTATTATTTTTACAAATTATTTTAAATGCTTCATATCATATTAATATAAAAAAATTATTTTAAATATTTCAGATCATATTAATATAAAAATTGAATACAAATAATCTTTCATTAAAATTCACTGTATATTAAATTTTGAGTAAAATTAGAAAAATTTATGTAATGCATAAATTATATTAATTATATTAAATAACGAATTATTTATGCTACCTTCACATTTCATGCACCCTAAATATGAATAAAGAAACAAGTTATGCACCATCTATTTTGCTCCAATTACTTTAATTTTCTGAAATTGTGATGGGGGAGATGAACAATTCGAACCGGTGAACACGAAAAATACACCAAAATGAAGAAAGAAAAAGGAGTGGCAGAAGGAACCAGGAAGCCTTTTTTTTTTTCGTTACAAAATTTATGGCGACAGTTAAGTTGTCCACTATAGTTTTTCATTTTTTCTACAATTAATTGGGTTTTTTTATTTGGACTATTGAAACTAAAGAAGCATGGGATTAAAAGAATAACTCACAAATCAGGATTAGCATCTATCTTGCTAAAAAAATTCACCACTAACTGGATTCAAGGAACTCATCACTCTGTTTACAACAACATCTGTATCCACATTGAAATACTTTGTGTAAGATAAGACACTGAAGACACCCTGCCAGTAGTTTGTTGGTTGGCGCCCAAATGCTTCTATACAGACTGACAATTAAGAGATCAATGAATGACATTAGACTCTGCACAATCAGTCAAAACCCAATCCCGCAAAATATTTTAAAAATGCACCAAAGTATCTAAAATATGAAGTATACATAATCACATTGACAAATAAATAACCATTTCAATGACATACCAGTCCGATATCTCCGTACTCTGTCAACCCCATTGGTAGGTAGGAGGGAATGATTGCATGCTCGCATAAGGGACTGCATGAAATTTCACAAGCAAACTTTTTAGGCAGCTGAAACTTTTAACAGAGGGATTAACACAAGAAAAAAAAAAAGAGGCAATCCTACAATTTCATTCCGTCATGAGTTGTTATACTCTTTTCATCGGCTACGACAGCCTCAACAACAATAAAAAAGAACAAGTAGAGATCCATAATCAATAACATAAATTAATCAGTAACAAAATAACAAACAAAAAAACTAGTATTATGGTCAGATAAAGTTTTTCCTTTTCTCAAATATATTAATTAAGAGAAACTGCGTGTTTGGGTATTCTTGCGTGCAACTGTCTTAATAATCTCCATCCGAAAAATCTTGATCGTGTCAAGGCTTTGTTTTTCAATCACTTCGCCCATGCAAACTTCGACTGATACTTTGTTTAAGGTATTCTAACTTCATTCAAAGTAATTAGGAGAACTTTAATTTAAAACTTTCAGTTTTAATTAAGTGATTATCAGTATCATTTAATGCTTTCTTGAATTAATACTTGCATCATAATCTGAACCACATGTAAAAAAAAAAAAGAAAAAGAAAGCAAGTAATTATGTTTTGTTCCCACATCTTAGTAAGAAATCAAACAGAAAGGGGGAAAAAAAGTGAGCGCACACTCACGGGAACAAAACCGAGCAAATGGCTGGTGCTGCTTATGGTGTAAGAATCCTCTCCTACATCCAACGCAAACACAAAGTATGAGTCACAAGGAGATTGCAAATTGGAACTACGAGTTAATGGGAAAGCCCTAATTTCTACTTACCTCACTGAAATGGATTTTTGGTCATTTGGTTACTTACTAAAGAAAACTACAATGTTGGCTCCAAAAATGTCGACAGGCCCAGAAATATTTTGAGCTTTCAAGCCCGTACTTTTCATATATGGAAACGTAAAAGTAAATTGTCTGAGCCCGGGTTCGAACCGGGGACCTCTAGTGTGTGAGACTAGCGTGATAACCAACTACACCACCCAGACGACTTTTGCTTCAACCTTTTCAACAACGAATATCAAGCTCTAAAAATGCAACAGGCCCAAAAATTTTGGCCTTTAAGCGTGTACTTTCATATGAAAACGAAAACAATGTCTGAGCCCGGGTTCGAACCGGGGACCTCTAGTGTGTGAGACTAGCGTGATAACCAACTACACCACCCAGACAACTTTTGCTTTAACTTTTTGAACAACCAATATTGAAGTGTAAATATGCAACAGGCCCAAAAATTTTGGGCTTTAAGTGTGTACTTTCGTATGAAAACGAAAACAATGTCTGAGCCCGGGTTCGAACCGGGGACCTCTAGTGTGTGAGACTAGCGTGATAACCAACTACACCACCCAGACAGCTTTCGCTTCTATTCTTTCAATAACCTATATTAATTTTATATTTATAAAGTTTTTTTATTACATTATTCAAAGTTCTCAAATGAAAAATAGAAAAAACTAGATAGACTAAAAGAGTGAACACAAATCCAAACAAGTAGAAATTTGACAGATTATCCTTAATTAATGAAAGTTGAAAGTGCGACGAAGTAGTTGAGAGAGTGATATTGATATATACCAATGTATTTGGATGAAATTTCCACAAATGAAGAATGAGATTATTAAATTGACAACCCTGCAAGTGTAACAACACATAGTTCGTAGCACTTCAAAAATGTGAAAGGAAGTCAATCTAAATGAGTAGCGTCAACATTTTTTTTCATTTGATCGACTTATTTATACTTCAAGTTTTCGGCCTTATTAAAAGTTTATTCACTTTTTCACAACCACTACAAAAAAAAAAAAGTAGTAATAGTTTTTTAAACTAAAAATATATTTTAATTTGATAGCGGGTAAGGTTATGACATTAACATGTTGGAAAAAATACATAGAATTTTCTCATGAAGTCGATATGTGAAAGTGAAATAAAAAACGAAATAAAGACAAAATAATTAGACACACCAATTGATAACGGAGTTCGGCCAAAATTGCCTACGTCTCCGGACTACTACAGATATTTTACTGGGAGAAAAGAAAATACACAGATGTTTACAAAGCACTCTCAAAACACTCGCAACCGTCAACCCAATTACACCCAGAAACTAGATTATTTTCTTTCTGCTTCTTGCTGGCTAACTCTTGTAATGGTTGCTTGGGAATTTGATGATCCAAATGAGTGAAGTGAAAGAGCATTTTATAACAAAAAATGGTTCTTGTGTATTTAAGATTTTCCGTGTTTTTTTGTCTCCAACCACTTGCCAACCAACTACTTGCCACCTTTTTTTTACTTTTCAAACACCAACAATCTCCCACTTGAGGACTGATTTCAATCTGTCATCACACCTTGATTAATGCAGTAGTCTTCTCTGGTCTGCTACTCTTGCAAGCCAACTGAAGTTGAGCACAACTTCAGTTTGTCAATGGTCATCACCTTCGTTAGCATATCTGCTGGGTTTTTGCTTCCTACAATCTTCTTTAATGTTAACACCTCATCCTTAAGTAGAGTTCTGATGAAATGATAACGAATATCAATGTGCTTGGTTCTGGAGTGAAATGCTGAATTCTTTGCCAGATGTATTGCACTCTGACTATCACTATGCAAAACACTCCTTTCTTGAGTGAATCCCAGCTATGCTAACAGTCCTTGAAGCCATATCAATTCTTTATTGGCTTCTGTCACTACTACATACTCAGCCTTTGTAGTGGATAAAGCAACAATTTTTTGTATCCGCGACATCCAACTAACAGTTGTAGTACCAACCGTGAAAACATAACCGGTGGTGCTTCTTCGCTGATCAACTTCACCTCCAAAGTCTGCATCTACATAGCCCTGTAATCTTAGATTTCCTTTTCCAAAACACATACATTTTTCTGTTGTTCCTCGTAGATATCTCAGAATCCACTTGATGGCTTCCCAGTGAGCCTTTCTTGGATTTGCCATAAACCTGCTCACAACTTCCACTGCATGGCCAATGTCTGGCCTTGTACAAACCATTGCGTACATCAAACTTCCAATGGCTGAAGCATACGGAAGCTTAGCCATAATTTCTTCTTCTTCCTTTGTTTGAGGAGATTGATCCTTGGATAGACGAAAATGACTGGCCAAAGGTGTACTCCTCTTGAGATAACTGAAAAACTCCTTTTTGCTTATCTCTCGTGATTTGCATTCCAAGAATCTTCTTTGTTGGTCCTAAGTCCTTCATGTCAAATTCCTTTGACAACTGCATCTTTAAATTTCTGATATCCCTCATATTTGAACCTGTTACTAACATGTCATCAACATAAAGTAGCAATATGATATAGCTGGACTTATACCTCTTGAAGAAACAACAGTGATCGGCATTATACTTCTGGAAACCTTCCTTGTGCATGAAGCTTTCAAACTTCCTGTACCACTGTCTTGGAGCTTGTTTCAGACCGTAAAAGCTCTTCTTCAATTTGCACACCATATCCTTCTTTTCTTCTGAAAATCCTTCAAGCTGGTGCATGTAGATCTCCTCATCTAAGTCTCCGTGGAGAAATGCAGTCTTCACATCTAATTGCTCTAGGTAGAGCTCTTCACTAGCCACAATACTTAACACTGTTCTCACTACTAGAAAAATGTCAAATAGTAACCGAAATCAGTGACTGAAAAAGTTAGTTACTATTAGTGACTGAATCAGTAACCAAATTATTATTTTTTAATTTAGTAACTGAAATAGTAACTAAATTTTCGGTCACAATAAATCGGTTACTATTTCATCCACTTTATTATTTAATTTACTTTTTTATTATTTAATTTAATTTTTTAATTTTTTTAATTTTTTTAATTATTCTAATTAGTATCTAATTTTCACTCCCTCTCTGTTACCCTCCCAACTTTCATCTTCTTCGCACTGATAATCCTCCAAAATTTTGTGTTCTTCGTGCTGACAGCCCTCCCAAATTCACCTTCCCGCTCACAATTTCACTCCCTCTTTGTGACCTTGTACTAGTGACTATCCACCATTGTTCGAGCTTAATCACCTTCGTCTCTCCAACCCCAATCCTCCACCCTTCTATTCAGCTTCGAAGATCTTTAACCCAACATGCATGACCCGACCTCAAGCTTGAAATCCAACCCAGTGACCTTGAATCTCAAATCTGAGTGACCAAAACACCCAATCAAAACCCAAGCAACTTCGAATCTCAACCCCAGCCTCAACCTCGACGAACTCGAGGCCGAACCCCAACTCTGGCGACATCGAACCCCAATGTCAAGCCAAACCCAATTGTCATGCTGTGAAACCCAACGCAAACCCAGCGGATCTCGAACCCTAACGCATACCCTAGTGACGTCGAACTCTAACCTCGAGCCAACCCCCACTTTAATTCTGGTCGCAATTAGCGATTGATTGATTGCTCAAGGATGTGTAAAAGATGATATATTCAATGTATGTTAAAAAAGTTCAAGCCAAACTGTTTTTATAGAAGATTTTCAAAACTGCTGGTTTAATTAATCTGTTAAAAGATTCTTTTTATCTGTTAAAAGTGCAGTTTTAATCTGTTAAAACTTCTTTTAATCCATTAATACGTTCTTGATTCTTTAACAGATTTGTTTTAACTGATACGACAACGTTTATATCAATTAAAACACTTAACAAAAAATCTTCTAAGTTGATTTAATCGATTGTTTCGCGATTCAATCGATTGAAATACTGCAAAACTTTCTCGTAAAACTTTTCAAGTTATTTTAACTGATAAAAATAAGTTTTAATCGATTAAAACGCTGTGCAGAAATTGTTTTAATCGATTGAAACGAGATTTAATCTATTAAAATATGATCGGTCATAACTGCATTTTGATCGATCATAATTGAAACAATATAATAGCGGTTCCAGGTTAACCGCTATCTAAGTGAGCTTTTAAGAGCGGTTCCTGTGTAACCGCTATCTAAAATGTATTTCGCTTGAGCGACACTCTTCTCGCTCGAGCGAAATGCCCCTACACAAAATTGACATTCTCGGGTTGTATTTCGCTTGAGCGACTCTAGTCTCGCTCGAGCGATATTTGATTCTGATCGATTAGATTTTTGAAATGATCGATCATATTTGATAATTTTTTCAAATAATTAATTATAATCGATTAGTTTTCTAAATTATTGATTAGAATTGATTAGTTTTTCAAATAATAGATTAGAATTGATTAATTTCTGAAATATATACTAAAAATTATAATTAAAAATATAAATTAGTTAAGAATATTGACTATTGTAAAGATAAAGTAGAACATGGGAGGAGATGAGGATGATAATATAATGATAGAACTTACAAAAATGTAGAATTGAGAAGTTTGAAACAAATATTAAGAAAATAGATATTTAATTACACTTTTAATAAATTTAAGATAATACTAGTTTTGATTTTTATTTTTA